CTCCATAAACTGAAATCGCTCTGGCAGAGCTAAAGGCGCTTGAGGAGCAAAGAAAGGCAGACAAGGACTCAGGACTACCGAGCCAGAAGCAACTTGGGAGTAGAAAGTTCTGGCACTCCCAATGGTGCAAAAGCAGCTCCCAAAATAGCCATAGAGATAACACAAGCACTAGACACAAAATTATCCAAATGGAGAGAAGGGTCCAAAGCCATTGCCAAGGGTGTCGGTGCCCCTTAGACCTACGCCATGCCCCAGGCAATCAAAATTGGGGCACAGCCAGGATATACGACCCAATGTTGCGTGTCAATATGGACTGACATGTGTTGAAAGGTACTGATATGTCAAATGTCAATACAAAATTGATTGTCGACCTTAGATTCATCGAGGAAACGTCACATCAGCTACCAACAAAACAAAAGAGCCGGAATAACCTTCTAACACTGTCACAGCTCAGAAGTCCACCAAAGGAGGTCGAAAATGCTTTGAACTCTAATTGATCCATCAAACGTACAAAAGAACACCCAGAAGACACATGGCAGATTTCATTGTGGACCAATTCCAATTGGCGTTAGCGTCAAGCCTTTGATACTCCGCCCGCAAAATTGTACCCGTACCGAGTCATGTGATTAGAAATTTAAGACACATTTAATTATGTTGACTGCATTTAAAGGTAATTAATGCGTGTTCGACGCTATTGCCAGTGGTGCCAAAGCATGTCCAAAGGGCGACGAAAGATGCAGGGCCTAGATTGTACCAAAAACAATCCAACCGATGTCCTAAGCTGGTTTGCCTATAAATAAGGCACTTGACCGAGAGTCCAAGGTTAGATTTTTGCCATTTAAGCCCATAAGCTCTATAGAACGAACCCAGACCTAATCTGAACCATACTCGACCTAAAGCAATAGCCCTTATGCCCCTCAAACTATACTTAATCCAAAGGCGGCCAGGGTAATTAGACTTTTCGAGCTCTCTTCCGCCTATATTCGCTTGTCCCATCAAAACCGAGGGACTGGGACTGACCGTGCAACCATCTACTATGAATCGACCTGACTCCGGGCGCTGGGCCCAGGGGCCCAGCCTAAAGTTCCTTCTCTCTCTCTCTCTCTAATTTTATTCATGTTATCCATGTTTTCATTAATGTTAATTTATTACCTTCTTCAATATCTTTCCCTTTCATTAATTTTATCTTAAATGCTTTTGTCAGTAGTTATGAGCTTTGTTTAATGCTTTCTTAGTTTTGATTTCCTTAGTTCATTTATTGCTATATTCCTTTCTTTTATTTTTAAATACCCTTCATCTTTCTCCATCTTCATTAAAATCTTTTTTAGAACCACTTTTGAACTCCAAGGCAGAGGCATACAGGAAGCCGACTTTGTCGGTGGTCTAAGTGGGAGAAGGCCTTGTGGCCCAACTCTCTCTATCAACTCTTTTGATTTTTTTGCACCCGAAACCAAGGTGGGGATCGAGTTCCCTACCCGTATTTTTTAGTATAAACAATTTGACACCCACCGTGTGGCCCGTCAAGCTTCCCTTACACCCTCACCGTTGAAGTAACCCTCTGGACTTTGTTCCGAAGGGTCACCATCAACCTGGAGTTTATCTCGGCTCATTCTGAGCCTTTCTTGCTTTGTTTGGGGTCTGAAATGGACACAAACCACTAGAAATTGTGTGGGCGCTATTCCCAGTAGCTTCTACCTGTCTCAACAGCCTCCTTGCACCTGATTTGCAAAGCTAATTTGGTCTCTCTCTCTCTC